ATGTAAATTATGTCAAATTAGTGATGAAAAATGGTATAGATTCTAACTAATACCATAAAATTTCATCCTCGAAAAAGCAGTAATGGAACTTTTTGTTTAAACTTGCACGTGGAAGGGCGCTTTCTGGTGAGCGTACTGTGAAGAAGTTGCGTTTATCAAAGGCTTTGACAATACCTGATAGTACAAGCATTCATGAAGCTTGCTGTAGGATGGCTGCTCGTGAGGTTGATGCTTTATTGCTCACCGACTCTAATGCATTACTTTGTGGAATCCTCACGGACAAGGTGTGGCATATTATTGTGGACTGTAACAAATTACTTTGTGTAATCCTCACGGCATTTCAGATTTGACACTTGTATGAAAATCCTTTTTCATTTATTTATTCTTTCGCTCTAGGGGGGTGGGAGAGTGACTTTCATACTCACTACCTTCAGACGTTTATTGAACTTTAACTATCCCTACCTTCAGACGTTTATTGAACTTTGACTGTGATATTTCTTATTTATTGAGTGTCCAGTTTTTTTAATGCCTGAAGGACATAGCCATAAGAGTGATTGCTCGGGAGCTTAATCTGGATGAGACACCAGTTTCCAAAGTGATGACTAGGAATCCTGTATTTGTTCTTTCTCTCTTGCTGTGAAAGCCCTTCAGAAGATGGTGCAAGGTTGGCCTTTGTGATAGACAACCACCCTTCTGTGTGATATGCTTTCTAATAGCTTACCCTCTAATGTTGTTTTGATTTCATTATAAGCAGGAAAATTTAGACACTTGCCTGTTGTAGAGAAACGGGAAGTCGTTGCTTTACTCGATATAGCTAAGTAAGTGTTTGCATGATGATATTGCTCGAATGGAAAGGGTAGCTGAAAAGGGAAAAGCCATTGTTGCAGCTGTTGAGGGTGTAGAAAAAAATTGGGGAACATCTTTATCTGGTTGGTGGATAATGTTTTCTTTTGTCTTTGATGTAGTTGTTTTTGTGCATTGTTGTGGTATTCCTTTTCTGTTTTTAGCTTTGGTATCAACAAACCAGTTAAGTCTGTGCAATCTTATGCGGTGATTTGCAGGTCAGAGTACGTTCACTGAGACACTGCGGGAGCGTATGTTCAAGCCGTTAATGTCTACGATTATTACAGACAATCAAAAGTAGGTAATACTTTCTCTTTCTATCCTTCACTCTGGTCCTTTGCACAATCTCTGTTAATGGTATTCTGTTCACAAATGATGCTATGAGTAGCTTTGCTTAACGTGATGCCCATCTGTCAGGATTGTAACAGTTTCACCTGATGACACAGTTTTAGTGACTGCAAAAATGATGCTTGAATATCAATTTAACTCTGCTGTTGTGACAGTTGACAAAAAAAACACGAGGGATTATAACGTGAGTCTATTTTGAATCAAATTCCAATTCAACATTGTTTGTTATGCAGCTGAGGGAGGGAAGGAGTATTATAATCTGTTTTATTTATTTTAATTGTTGCAGTTGTCATTGGCCTATATTCTAAATTATGCCTTTGAATTTCTAACAGTTCGAAGGATATATCGATGCGGGTAATAGTGCAAAATCTACCCCCAGAGACTTCTACCGTAGAGACGGTAAATTTTGCCTTGATCTCCGTTTTATTTTCCCATGTCAGCAGTATTTTATTCTCATGACTTGGCCGTATAAACTTTATTAGTATCTTATCAATTTCAAACCTATATAATAAGTGAATTGTTGAGTTCTAGTCATTTTGCTTTGATTTCATGTATAGGTCATGACTCCTAACCCAGAATGTGCAACAGTTGACACACCAATTGTTGATGCTTTGCATACCATGCATGATGGGAAATTTTTACACCTTCCTGTGGTAGATAGAGGTGATATGAATTACTACCTTGCAAAGAATGTATTGTTATAAGTACATCAAACTAGTTCTTGATAAGTTTATATGGTTGGATGCAGATGGAGAGATTGTTGCTATTGTTGCTGTACTCCACATCACTCATGCTGTTGTTGGCACAATAAGTCAGTATTTTTCTAAGACTTTGGTGTTCTTGAAGTAATCTTATATGAATATTTATTCTAAAGCATTTAACAGACTTGTTTTAATACTTCCGTAGATGGGTTTGAGAATTCAAAGAAGAATATGATCCTTTTTTTCCTATTTGCTTTTCAATTCATGGTTTTTATGGTGATGCAAAGGTTTTGGGATTCTGCATTGGCCTTACCACCCAATGAAGTTGATGATGACACTCGAAGGTTTCCTATATTGATGTTTCTCTGATTATATAGTTGTGATTTTTGCCATTACTGTTTACTAACTTAGTGATAGTGACGTCTCAGTGATAATTCTTTGAAGGTGTCTTCTGATGTAGCTGAGATAGGGAGAGATCTTCCCTATCCTTCATCCAATTTGCCAAATACATTTAATTTCAAATTACAAGATAAAAGGGGACGAGGCATAGATTCTTTTGTGGTATGCAACTGTTTTTTAGCTCATGAACTGGGCAATTCAATGAAAATATGGCCCTTTATTTTGCATGCGGCACAGGTGCAAGTGTTGGTTGTCTTTCAACCTATAAAAAACTTATGCAGCCTAACCAAAACTTGCCAAGTTATAAATGATACTAGCTCCAAGAATTGATCCTTCACTTTTTCTGGTCCAAGTTCTAATCTTATGGTTAATATGTGTGATTAACCATCAGTTAGTGGTGCACTGGTGCTCTATTGAAAACAATATTCTAGCGGACATGAAGGCCTTTTCCCAACTTTCTTGAGCATCATGCACAGTAGATATTCTAGGAGGGATCTTATCCTTCATCAACAACCTGCATTTATACCTACTGTAATGTCCGGGAAAATCGTATATTAATGGGTATTTTGCTGATTGCTTCTCAATACAGATACATGAAGTATTACGGATCTTATTACTGCAATCCTTCATAGACTGGAGGATGACATAGACAGGAACATGGTTCCTCAAATTCTGGTAGGCATTTGGGAAAAAAATAGTTTATGATGAAGATGATGACGATGGGTAGCTAACATACATGTTATGATAATTGGTGGATAAATTATGCAGTATGGAGATGAAGACCATGACAAAGTTGTATTGACATCAGACAGTGGTCTTGCAGCGGCTGTGGAGCATGCAAAACTAGCTGGTTGGAAGGTATGACCGAACTGTCTGTCTTTTCATGGATAGAGAGCCGATAGAGCATTTTACAGTGGAATTCACCATTTACCATTACTCGGAAACGATAACATACTTGTGTATGATTAAAAGTTGACACTTGAAAGTAGACATGGCTAGGTCTGTACAACTCCTTAGCTATAAGGGAAACCTGTAAATTTTAAAATTTTCCTGATTCATTAAAATTTGGTTGGTGAATTGTGCAGGGTTTGAGATTGCATTTAGATTATTCAGGAAAACAAAATCATCGAAGGGGTTCGGTTTCAGGAAGCTTGGATTATGCTCAATCTGATGCGTTGGCTGCCGCGTACAGTGCGGTTGCAGCAGGGGCTGCTGTTGTTGCCGGGTTGGGTTTAATAAGCATACTTGAAGAAAGCCGGTAATTAGCTTTTTTTTTAGAAACTTCCAATTTATAGATTGCTCAAAGCATTTCTTGTGCTTGATTTCTCCCCTAATTTATTAGGTCAACATACAATAGCATACAAATGAAGAAATCTTTTTTCCCATTTCCTCTTTGTTTAGTTTTTTTATTAAATTCATAGATTATAAAAAAATACAAAACAGTCACTCAACTCTAAAAAATAACAACTTAGTCGTTTTCGTTAAAAAAATGTTAAAAAAAAAGAATCAGGGAGCTGTAAGAATGGTGGACCATAAGATGGGATTGCAAAGCTTGTTTTTCATAGAATAGATGATATGCAAAGCTGATCCCATGGTGTTTTCTAAATGCTTAAGGCCTTTTGTAAATAAAAGTTCACACAAGATTTCGAGTGTCTCCTTAACCACTCGAACATATCGACAAGGCTCTGAGAGTAAATAGATTAGTAAGCTATTAATCTCGTAAATACTCAATTAATTACCTCAAAGATTTCGAGGCTCTTTCTCTTTATTTCTTTTGATAACATGTTTCATCCCTTCAAAATCCAATAGCTCAAAACAAAGTGCAGATCAATGTGAATGAATTCTAGATAGAATTAATCCCGACATTCAATGAAATTAGAGAGTTGAAGACAGTATGCAGGCATATAGGTTCATATTCCTCTACTAATGCACCATTTCCTGCAACCAAAATGATCATACTAACCTTATACGGAACATGGACTCTGCCAAGTAGATATGTCCATAACGAGCTCACGTTGTTGATCTAATAGAAGCCTGATGTATTTGCCCTCGATTGCAAGCTCCTATAAACATAACAACCAGATTACATTCCTGTTTTACAGTCATTAAACACTACTGTTCAAAGTAAATATGAAATTGATAACCTAAAGACTATTAAATTATGAGCATTACACTGCAAAATACCTTTCTGAGATTCAAGGCTCCGTGTGTTCCAATTTCTCAATCTCTGCTCTTTTTTCAGGAATCTTCGCAGCTGAACCCGTTTCAATGCTTTGCCTACTAAGATGTTAAAAAAACGAACAGCAGAAACAATTCCTTGAGCTAATCGAAACACATCCTACGAATAAAAAACTACAGAACAAATTTGCATTTTCTTTAGTAATTTATAATCAAGGATCGCAGAGTTTGGCTGATTTAAACAATGAAATCAGGCTTTTAAGTACCTCTTGAAAATTGGTAATGCCAGTGAGCATAGCACGAAGAGAAGCATATACTTCAAGCAGCGAGAGCTCCTTTGCCGTTACCTCCAACTCCACCATTTCTAAATGATGGTGGCCATCAGATGCCGATCACTGTTGCCTAAAACAGAGCCGTTGTAGTTAAGAGAAGGACCGTTAGAAGCAGCAATGGTTAAGTAGTATTAGAAGAGAGTTTGTATTTGAAGCTAGAGATTGAAAAAAAAATCAAGCAAATCAAGAAAAACTAAACCGTCGACAGCAGGGTTAGAACCTGCGCGGATAGTGCCCAACAGATTTTAAGTCTATCTCCTTAACCACTCGGACATATCGACGCCTTGGTCTTGGTAGTTTTATGACAATTTTCAAAAGCGGAGAGCACGGCGCGAAGAGAAGCTACGCAGTTGTTTTACTTCAAACTAGCCTCAGGAGAGCACAACTGCCGCCACCTCCAGTTCCATTCATTTCTAAGTGACGACCGATGGCACCACCAGCTGCGGAATAATCGTTGCTTAAAACTGAGCTGTTGAGCAAAGAAGGTAAAATAAAAGCACAAAAACAAACATAAGAAGGAAGAATCGTCGTCAGCAGTGTTTGAGAATTGACAATATCGTTATCGGCTGCCAAATTATAGCTGCTTAAAAAGAATCGTCGACAGCAGGGTTCGAACCTGCGCGGGCAGTGCCCAACAGATTTCAAGTCTGTCTCCTTAACCACTCGGACATATCGACGCCTTGACGTCAGGGTTTGTAATATCTTAATCATTGATAATTTCATCCAGCACAGTGCGAAAAGAAGCAACGGTTTCTTCAGCTAAATGTTTTAGCCCTCTTTTTCTTTCCCCTGTTTGGTTGCCGAGAAACTTTCAATGGAGGATTTTACTGTCCCCAAGTAAAAGATGAACCAAAATCTTCAGATAAAACTTAAAAGAGATGAGAGTTGGCATTCACTTCAGTAGAAAGAAAGCGTAATTTTTAATTCAATCTGATTTTCTTGGTAAAAAATTAAATATACATTTTTTTCTTCATCTTATTAGAAGTGATATATCGTTAAAGGATTTAAGAGCGATGATTAAAAAAAATGTTTTTGCTAAAGATAGTGACTAAATCGATAACACTTTAAAAGTTAGACGACTCAATTGAAAAGTCATCATATTTTATGGACTGAGAGGAATGCAGTTCAGGTGTGAGAAATTTACTCTTTGAATAATTTGTACCGTGAAAATGGCTTCACACTTTCATGTTGCCTGTTGGGTTTGGTTTTTGAGAGCTTTCCTCATTTCAGCAACTACAAGAAGAAATTCTCAAAAACTCAGAAGAATGTGGTTGTTGAACATACCCCCAAACGGTAACTAGATTAATACAGCTTCATGGCCTCGTATTTTTGATTTCCTCGAACAAGTAGTCGTGTTTAAAACTCATATTCACACGTAATTACGAGTGTATAATCGTGTATCCGAATCCAAACTTATATGTAATGTTTTCATTTCGAATAAGATGAAAATTGTTAATTTTATTAAAAATAGAAAAATATCCAAACTCACGTTAGACGTTAGCACTTAGGCATATTGGTATTTTCTTAAATTCTCCAAGTTTGAACCCTATGTTTCTATATATGTTCCAATATGAATATGACTGTGATTATAACTAATGCTACACACATCTTTATATCCGAATAACATACATCAAAATTTTTTACTCAACTTATAAACACCTCTAGCGCACAGATTATAACTCGCATCCGTAAATTTACATAACTCGCACTGAATCTTTGAAAGATTTGGGGTCCCAAAAACAAAAAAATAGAGAAGTTTGAAAGGGATGAAGCAACAAACTGTACCAAACAAAAGCATAGAACATTAAAATACATCGATGAACCTATCAAACAAATTACCTACACTTGTCGACTTCATATATATATATATATATACACTTGAAGATTACACTATTCGAAAGATACAGTGAACCTAAAACACGAACTGTACAATTGGGACATGAAATATAAAATATAAAGTTTAATTACTTCATTGTTTTACACGGATTGTATATCTTTTTTTAGTTGCAGAAATACCAACGTTTGAACCGCAGCAATTAGATGACAGTTCTTGAAACAAAAGCAAAGACACCATTTCTTCTTCCTCACTCAACATGATTCTAAGATTGATACCATAACAATATTTCAATGGCGTCTTAACTGCCTTGACAGAAGTCCTCGTTATCAAAAACCCACCACCATCCTGTCCAAAATAATCTGCTAATATTGCCCTGTTAGGTGCTGGAAAAGGAAGAAAATGCCTCCACAACTCTCTAATGGCGTTGCCTCTCAGATCAGTCCTTCGGTTCAGTTCTGCAATGGAGCAGGCTTGCGTTCAAGCCCCAAACATGGCGGAATAGCTAGAAGGACGAAATTCCATGGAAAAAATCTACTTCCGGTCCTTGTTCTCGTCCTTTCTTGCCTTTCCATTCTCAGGCTTCTTAAAATAGCAATGATTACTTCACATTCTTCGTCTTCGTTTCAATCAAATGCACCATCGACGGTTGATTTAGAGTTCGACCGCCGTCTCAAAACCTCCACGGCCTCCGCCCTCACCCCGAAGGAATTCATGGTTCTTTCAAAGATCATTACACGTAAAGCACCTTGTAATCTCCTTGTTTTCGGTCATCAATCACAGTATGTCAATCTCTCGTCAATAAACGCCGGAGGAATCACTGTTTTTCTCGAGGATGATCCACACAAGACAAGCGAAATCAAAGCTGATTTCAACGGAACTCGAGTTTATAATGTTAAGTATCAAGCACCAGCTAAGAAGGCATACGATTTGCTCAAGCATGCAAGGGGAAATCCAGCTTGTTCTCCCGCCACGAACATGATGTATCAATCGACCTGCAAATTGGCATTGAGAAACTTACCTGAAGAAATTTATAAGCTTAAGTGGGATGTGGTGGTGGTGGACGGGCCGACCGAGGACTCGCTTGATGCACAGGGGAGGATGTCGACGATCTACACCGCGGGCATGTTGGCGAGAGGTGCTGAGACTGGGAAGACGACTGATGTTGTGGTTCATGATGTTCATCGGACGATTGAAAAATGGTTTTCTTGGGAATTCTTGTGCGAACAAAATTTGGTTTCTGCTAAAGGGAAACTCTGGGATTTTAGAATAACTGCAGATCAATCCAATTCTACAAGCTTTTGCTCTTCTGAAACGGTTCATCTAATGTCATAGCCTTCTTCTTCTTCTCTATGGCTTTCACTAGAATTTTGCTGGTTAATAAGAAATGCTTGGTATATAATTTGTTATCCGAATTTAATATTTTCTAATGTAATATCTATACTTTTTACAGTCTAGTATTTAAATTTGATCATTTTTCCATAATATGTTATTTAACATGATATAATATTTTTTGTCCCATGTTATAATTTCATTGATAGTTAAAACTTAAAATATTATATACCTAATAATGGTATATTAAAGTTGTTGAATTATATTAAAAATATAAATATCATATTAAAATTGATACATTTAAATAATAAATATTAAAATAAACAAACAAAAAAACCAGTTTTTGTATTATAAAGTATGTAGAACGCAAATAAAAGAGAATGTTGTTTTTCTTTAAAAAAAAAGTAATTTATTTATATTTTATTATGTTATAAAATGTACTCATTGAGTTACTTTAGTTATAAAAGAGAATATTGTTTTCCTTAAAATACTCAAATTCGAGCAGTTACGTCTGCAATGTATGTAGTATCATTGCTTTAAATAAATTTTGAACATATATTATCTTATAATTATTTCATGCTATTTTTAAAAAAATTAAGTAAAAAAATAAAACTAATAGCAAAAAACGTTAATAAGACTAAATAATTATCGATTTACTCATTATTATCCTATCAAACTCAAACTCAAAAATTTAAAAATTTAAAACTTAAATATTATGTCCAAATTTAAGTCTTTTCAATTTATTTAAATCTTATCTAATCAATTAAATCTTAGTTTGAAATATCTTTAATTCATACTTAATAAATATCATCATATATTTAAAACAAGTATTATCTTATAAGGGGTAATGGCGTCGCACGATTCTAGGGTTCTCCGAGCGTCTATTAGCGGGTCTAATGGGTTCTGAGATTTCTATTGTGTTCCGACGACTTGTTCAATTCTCTCTTTCTTCTTTTTTGTCTCCTCTTGTTCGGTTTTCTCCTTTTCATGGATTGGCGGAAATTGTTCCAGTGTTCAACAAACCAACAACTCAACTATTTTCCCCCAAATGAGAAAAACGGCGTTCGAACGGTTCATCCTCCACCAGAAGTGTTTGAAGGAGGAATCTCTGATTGGAAATACTCTCTTGTGGGTCAATTTCTGGGTGCAGCTCCGAATTTTGCAGCAATGAAAATGATCATCATCAGTTTATGGAAAAATTCACAGCAAGGTTCTAACGTTCAAGTCAGTTATGCTGGACCAAATCTCTATCTGTTTTCATTCGATTCTGATTCTGCTCGTGACTGGGTATTAGAAAATGGTCCTTGGCACATCTATAATAAGCCTCTGATCCTTAGGCAATGGGAACCCAACTTGAAAAAACTTCATTTTGACCTAACCAGAATTCTGATTTGGGTTCATTTATACAATGTGCCACTTGAATTATTCACTAATGTTGGTTTGAGTTACATTGCTAGCGCCATAGAGTTTCCTTTGTCAATGGACTCTGTCACAACCACTAAAACTAGATTGGAATTTGCCAAAGTCTGTGTTGAAATAGGGGCGTCTGATGTGATTCCTAAATTTATTAATGTTGTGCTTAACAATGGCCAATAAACTTTTATTTTAGTAGAAATTCCTTGGCTTCCCCCATGTTGCAAGCCTTGTAATTCTTTTGGTCACAGTTCTAAAAACTGTAAAAACAATCCAAACTCCTCCCATACAACTCAAATATGGAGGAAAAAGGATCCTTCAACCTCTGATTCTTCAGGAAACAATAACTTACCTTCTTCAAATGAGGTAGATTCTGTCTCTGTTAAGGAAAATGTTGCTGGCAATTCTATTCCACCTCCTCTTCCTATTACTACCTCTTATTCTATTGTTCCAGTAGAAGACTCTCATCCATCTTCCTTACCATCTAGTATGGAAATTGAAAATGATCTTGCTTGTGTCTCTACTGCTGAAGCTGATTCAAATAAAGGTTCTAAATCTCCTGTTAAAAAGAGTAGATGAAGGCCACCTAAAGGCAAATTGGCCAAATCTTTAGCCGGTTCAAGTAACCGTTTTGAGATCCTTTCGGTTGAAGAGACTACCCAAGCCTCAGAAACCGTGGGGAAACAACCAAAAGTGGCAGCATCAGGTGTAGCAGAACTGTTAAAAGACCTTAAATCTAAAAAGAAATATCATCTTGATAAGATGAAAAGTCTGTCAGTGGTTAGTAAAAAGGGGGATACATCATTCTCAACACTAGAGAAATGAATGTAGCTTTTTGGAATGTTAGATGATTGAACAATCCCCTAAAACAGAGTAGTGTCCTTAGAAGGGCAACCCAAAATAATGTAGATATCTTTTGCTTACTGGAAACCAGAGTTAAGGCTAAAAAATCTGTTGATATTTTTGCTTCCAAATTCAAGAATTGGAATGTCTTTTGTAATTATGACTTTGCTGTAAATGGTAGAATTTGGGTTATGTGGAAGAAAGGTTTAGACATCACACTTTGTTATGCTTCAGCTCAAACCATTACTATTGAATGTTCTTTCAACAATACCAAGTTTCTGCTCACTGGAATTTATGGTCATAATGATGGAGTAGCTAGAAGAAGTATTTGACAGGACCTTCGACTCATTGAATCAAGGTATTCTAATCATCCTTGGATCTTGGGAGGGGATTTTAATATCACAATGTACCCTCAAGAAAGTTCTAATCATGAACAATTGGGTTTGTTTTTTCCTCTGAAATGATTGATTTTCAAGAAGTTTCTCATGAACTCCATCTTCAAGACCATCCTTACTTTGGTCCAACTTTCTCTTGGAGCAATAAGCAAATTGAAAACTTCCTTTCTATGAAACTTGATCGTGTGCTCATAAACCCTTTATGGTTTGAATTTTTTAACCATTCATTTGCTGAATTCCTAGCTTCTGGATCTTCTGACCATTGCTTGGCTTTGGTGAATCTGAATAAAGAGATATATCTTAACAAACCTAAGCCTTTTAAAATTTTCAATTGTTGGACTCTTCATCATAACTTCTTGAATATTGTCAGTCAATCTTGGTACCCTCCTTGTCAAGGAAACCCTATGAAGAAGCTCTTCCTTAAGCTTAAAAGACTTAAATCCAATCTTAAGCAACTCAACAAGGAATCTTTCAGTGATATTTCTGCTAGGGTTAGGGAAAAACATGAAGAGATTGAAAAGCATCAACTACTTTCTTTAAGAGGTTTAGAGCCCATTGAAAAAGAACTCAGGTTGCAAGGGGATTTAAATGCTTTAGAAGAAGCTGAGGCGATGTTCTTAAAGCAAAAAGCTAAAACTCATTGGCTCAAAGAGGGGGACAAAAACTCTAAGTTCTTATATTCTGTTATTGCTACAAAGAATAAAAAAGACACCATTAGAGCTATTATTGATGATCAAGGAAGGAGATTAGACACATTCGAAGACATGTCCGCTGAGTTTATTAATTTTTTCAAAAACCTCATTGGCTCAACCGATTCGAATGTCACTAATTATTCTGTTAGCTTACTCAAAGACCTGCTTAATCATATTCCTAAAAGTGATAACTATCAAGGAATTACTAATGAAGTCACTTCCCAAGATATTTATGAAGCTATTTATAGCCAAAGTAACGATAAGGCCATAGGTCCCGATGGTTACACGTCTCTTTTCTTCAAGAAAGCTTGGCCTGTGATTGGTGAAGAAGTGATTGAAGCCATTAAGTTCTTCTTCAAAGAGTCTTTTATTTATCCTGCTTTCAATGCAACTTCCATTGCCTTAGTTCCCAAAATTCCTAACCCTAGCAAAGTTTCGGATTATCGCCCAATCTCTTGTTGCTCTGTCATATACAAGGCTATCACTAAGATTATTGTCAAGAGAATCAATTTTTTTGCTCCCACAGATTATCTCCCCTAATCAATCTGTCTTTGTTAAAGGGAGAAGTATTGTTGATAATAATCTCCTTGCTCAAGATATTGTGAAAGGGTATGGGAGGAAAAACATCTCTCCTAGGTGTGTAATCAAGATAGATCTTCAAAAAGCCTTTGATTCAGTTCACTGGGGTATTATTCCTATTATCCTTAAGGCTCTTGATCTCCCTACTTCTCTTATAGACTGGATTGTTTCTTGCTACTCTAATGCTTCTTATTCCATTGCTTTTAATGGAAGTCTGATTGGATTTTTCAAGGGTGCTAAAGGTCTTAGACAAGGTGAGCCTTTATCCCCTCTATTATTTGTGTTGGTTATGAATGTCCTATCTAAAATGCTCAATACTATAGCTGCCAAAGGGATTTTCAACTTTCACCCAAAGTGTAAGAAAATTGGCCTTACACCCAAAGTGTAAGAAAATTGGCCTTACACACTTAACTTTTGCAGATAACTTTCTTATTTTATGCAAAGGTAATCTTGAGTCTGTCTTGGGTATCATTACTGTCCTTAACTCTTTCTATGAACTTTCTGGTCTTAAACTCAATGCCCTCAAAAGTGAAATCTTTACTGCTGGAATTTCTGCCCAAGTTATTGATAAAATTATTTCTTATTCGGGATTCAAGCATGGTCTTCTGCCTGTCAGACATTTGGGAATCCCTCTGGTAACATGGAAGCTTTCTCCCAAAGACTGTCAGCCTCTCCTTGACAAAATTTATTCCAGACTTAACCAATGGTCAAGGATGAAACTTAGTTATGCAGGTCGTATTGAACTAGTTAAGACTGTTCTTTTCTCTGTTGCAAATTTCTAGTTCATACAACTGATTTTTCCCCAATCTGTCATTCATAAGATTGAACAAATTTGCTCCATATATTTTTGGAAAGGATCTGATATCCCAGCCTCTGGAGCTAGAGTGAGTTGGGATCGAATCTGCATGCCAAAGTCTGAAGGAGGATTAGGGGTTAAAGACATTAAGTCATGGAACAAAGTATGCACAATTATCCATATTAAAAATATGTTGGCTGGTGAAGGTTCTTTATGGATCGCTTGGACTCATAAATACATTATCAAGCAACAAAATTTCTGGTCCATGGATATTCCTACCTATTCTAGCTGAACTCTTAAGAGAATAATAAAGATTAGATAGCTTGCTTATCATATTCTGTCTGCAGGATTAAAATGTTCCAAAAGTTTATGGGAAGAGGTTAGATCGAAGAGCAGCAAAGTGTCTTGGCATAAACTGATCTGGTATCCTTTGCATATTCCCAAACACAACATCATCACTTGGATGATAATTTTGGATCGTTTGCCAACAAAGGACAGGCTGCAGAGATTTGGAATTCTTACTAACACTCAGTGCATCTTATGTTCTGAAGCTACGAAAACAAGGAATCATCTTTTTGCTGAGTGCAAAACGTCAACCTCTATTTGGAACTTTATTCTTCTTCTTTCAGGTATTCAAAAACCCCAACTATCCTGGTCTAACTTCCTTATTTGGGCGTCTGCAACTTGGAAAGGTAAATCACTTATCACTTGCATCCTCAAGCTCTCTTGGTGTGCTTTCAACTACACAATTTGGGAGGAAATAAATCATAGGATATTCAGAGGTGCCTACAAAACCGAGGGGGAAGTACTCCAAGCTATCAAGCAAAATGTTAGTTCTCACTTAAGTAACAGAAACATTAATAGATTTGATAGCTCTAATATTGATATATGTAACAATTGGGGTATATTATGATTTTGTTTGTAAATAAGTTACCCTTGTTTTTGTTCCATTGATTGGATTGGTTCTTTTGTAGCAACTTTGCTTCCTTTGGATAATAAAACCTTATTTATCCAAAAAAAAGTATTATCTTATAATTATTTTAAACTAATAAAAAATAAAATCATCAAACATAAATTAACATTTATAACATCACAACCAAATGTTTTATATATTTGGATTTTTTTATCAAAAAAATTATTTTTTGATATTAATTTTTTTAAATGTGTATAAAACATTATTAAATATCATATTTATATGGGTTAAAAATAACATTTTTTAAAATTTGATGTCATGGGTCAATTCAACAATTCACATTATATTTATACATATACATTAATAAAAATTATTAAATTTGAATATTTTTTGAATAAAACTTAAATTTAAATATTTAACACGTGTGGATAAAGCGTAGAAGTAGTTACGGTGATTGAAAGAGTGATGACATCAATTATTTGGGGATGTCTAAGTGATGCAGTTTGAATACACATTTAAGTAAATGTGTTATCATAAATATTAATTTTTTTAATATTTTTGGTAAATCGTTACCTAAAATATTATTTTTTTACCGAAAATATTACTATTGGGCGCTACAGAAAATGTTTAACATTTCCGATAAAGCGTTACCTAAAATATTATTTTTTTCTATAAAAAATATTAATATTGGATTCTACTGAAAATTAGTCAATGAGATTAATATTTCCAGTTAAAAATAATGTCTTATATAACTCTTTACCTAAAATATTAAAAATATTAATATTTCCGGTAAAACATTTTATTAACTATATATTGAGGCTGTTATATAGTATAAATACACTATTTATTTAGACGGACATTGTATTAATGTCAAAATCCCCCACTGTTTGGAAATCATAAAGACCACGTGTATTTTAATTTGCACGTGATTTTATAATTTCCGGCTGAAAAATTAGCACGTGAAGACTAATGCTACATTGCATTACAAATATTTGGCAACAACAAAATATTTCTCTTTTAATATAATAATTAAATAAATGTATATTTTTCAACTCATCAAATGATCTCAGTGATTAAAACGAGTATTATTCTTCCTAAAATTTTCGAGTTTAAGTATGGAGACTTAAGATCAGAGTAGCCGAGTAGTGTGGGTCAACAACCATAGGGTGTAGCATCTCTGTCTTCTTTTTAATTGTCTTTGTTGTAATTTTCATTGCCTTAGTTTAGGTTTTAATCTATTTTGACTTTAATCATTCTCGTAGCTTGCTAGCGCTGACATGCGTGTATCTTTCTCATCATGTTTCCTCCTTTTAAATTAATCCAGGACTTACGTTTTCTGTCTATATACAGAGCTTTTTAGGCAGAGTTTATTTGCAGGGATTACTTCCCATTACAGACGCGCATATGAATGACAGCATATAAAGATTGTTCAACTATTTATTTATTTATTTATTTATTTATTTATTTATTTATTTATTTATTTATTTATACATGCATTGTATTTAATTTGTATTTTTTAATTTTCTGAATTGCCGGAGGTCTTCCACGGAAGCTGCTCTCAACCTGGTGTTGGGGGCAGCCTACTAACCTACCTCCCCCTTACCCCATTGCATATGAGAATAGAGTTTTATTGTTGTTGTTGTATGTGTGTAATCAATGATTAAGAAATATTCTAAACGTATTATATTATAATCACTATAGATTACTAAAAAAATTTAAATATTTTTAATATCATTCAACAATTATCACTTTGATTGTGTCTTTCTTGAGTTTGAGTGACATTTGTATAAAAAACATATTTTAGTAATTATAGTTTTGGAGAAATCATTTGATTAATTAATTTAAGTATTGTAAAGGTTTATTATGAAAGTGATCAATTTAACTCAATTTACTTCATTTATAATATTAAGATTCAGACTATTGATCTCACTTAAATAATCTAATACAACAACAACAACAACAACAAAACCCAATTCCCATATGTATGGGGTAAGGGGGAGGTAGGGTAGTAGGCTACCCCCAACGCCAGGTTGAGAGTAGCTTCCGTGGAAGACCTCCGGCAGTCAGAAAATTAAAAATTTAGATAAAATGCAATGCATGTATAAATAAATACATAAATACATAGCTAAAACAGTATTCATATGCAGTCATTAAAATCATATGTGCGTCTGTAACGGGAAATTAATCCCTGCATAAATATCCCTGCGAAAGAATCTCTGCATATAGACAGAAACATAAGATCCGGCTAAATTTAAAAGAAGAAACCAACCGGTTATTAACATTTCTAACTTTTATTTGTAACTTTATTGAATGTATTGAATTTTGAAGACAATTCTTAATTTTGTAAGTGAACTATCAGTATTCTAAACATAAATAGATTCGGAAATTTATTTTTAACAATTTAAAGTCGGAAAATTTCCAGGTAGTATTAATTGAATTATAATGTTTTAAGTATTCAAAATGCATTTTTTTGTTATATTTATAACAAAACATCGTAATATATATATATATATATATATATATATATATATATATATATTATTTTTTATAATTTATAAGGATTAAATATGATTTTACTATTTTATAGATTTAAATTAGTTTTTTCATTACATTAAATTATAATCTGAACACTTCTAACAGGGCCAGACTATAATTTTTCGGGGGTGTTGGGGGAGAGAAATTAGGTCCCATTCCAGCATCTTCACCATTATTCTTTTTTGAAACGCGTTTTAAAAATTATTATAAAATTTTAGAAAGGAAGTTGATGTTTGAGTTAATTCGATACACTAATTCAATTAAGAGTTTAAAATATAATACAAATAAACTTTTTAATTATTTTTTGGTTATAAATTTAATTTATTTTATCACTTTAAAGGAATATTACGACATCATTACCTTTAATCAGTTGTTTAAATAAAATGCCTTTAAAAATATGGAGTTGTTTCTTCAAATCTTCCTGCATTATTTTTCTTTTAACAATAATAAATTAAAAACATTTAATAATTTTTTTCAATACTCGAATAATTTTTATGATGAAAACGCTCCAAGAAGAAGTCGACCATCGGCTGGTTCCGTTGCTTGAATCAGTAATGGAAACCGAGGAAGTTATTGATTTGCAGGATGTGTTTAGAAGATTTGCGTTCGACAGTGTGTGTAAAATGTCATTGAGTTAGTTTCTTGGATCTTTCGAAACCGGTGCCGTCACTCGTTAAGGCGTTTGATACGGCGTCTTAGATATCCGCCATACGAGGAATGGCGTCAATGTTCGTGGTGTGGAAATTAAAGAGAGCACTTAACGTCGGATCAGAGAAGAAACTCAAGGAAGCAATCGAACTCGTTCATGGCTGTGTTTTGGAGATCATTCGGAGCAAAAAGAAGGCTATCGAAGAAACGAGAGCCAAAAGCGGCGCAGCTGTTGGGTGCGGTGAAGACCTCCTGTCCAGACTGTTAATAGCTGGCCACGAAGAGGAAGTCGTGAGGGATATGGTGATCAGCTTCATAATGGCCGGAAGGGACACCACTTCCTCGGCCATGACGTGGCTGTTTTGGCTGCTTTGGAAGCATCAAAACGCCGAGAAAATGATGGTGAAAGAAGTGGAATCGATGCTTAGCAATGGCAGAGACGGATTCGATTTCAAAACGTTGAAGGAAATTAATTGCGTCAAAGCCTGCATTTATGAGTCGATGAGTCTTTACCCTCCGGTTGCATGGGACTCCAAGCACGCCTCAAACGACGACGTTCTGCCCTACGGTACTTTCATCGTTTCGTCGGGAAAGGATATAGGGTAACGTATTTCCCCTACAGAATGGGGAGAATGGAGGAGGACTGGTTCGAGTTTTAACCGGACAGGTGGTTCCAGGACCGGGGTGCTGAATACAGGTTGTTAAAGCCAGTCAGCCCTTTCAAATTCCCGGTATTTCAGGCCTTGGGAAAGAAATGGCCTTCATTCAGATGAAGTGTGTTGTGGCCGGTTTTTGTTCCTCTCTTGACCGGTCATACGGCCGGGGGTCTCAATGTCATGGTAATAAAGAGAAGAGAACTGAAATATTGGGAGAAAGCGTCAAACTAGGACGTAATATTCATATTTCTACTATGGTCAAGCAATCATGTGGTTAATTCATCTGTTGGAATTAAGTCATTGTCGGTACCGAAGTCTATTGATACGAAATGTGTTTAATATTAGGGTAAAGTAACCAAATGGTTGATCGACTATAGAATATTGTTTTATTGAGATATTAACTATTAAAAATTATGAAATGATTATGTGGTTATAGAACATTATTTTGTTGAGTCATTCGACTATTAAAAGTTATAAAATGATCAATTGATTATACATATCTTCCAAACTCGTATTTTTCTATTAAAAACAATTGATGGTAAGTTGAGTTGGACATTAGATATAATAAAATTATATTTTAATGATGTCTACTAGCACCATCATTACTTTTAAGCACTTGCTCGACGACATAATGTTTCAAGCACCGGCTCGATGACATAATATAAACAGAGACTCGTTCCACAAAATACACCTCAAATGATTATGGGATCATATTTTTTATATCATAGTCAACAATTTAATGTATAGCTCAAAAGACCATCAAATTTTTAATGGAAAATTACAAGTTCGGAAAATATGAATAATCAAGTGATCCTTTTGTAACTTTTAATAATCACGAGACTCAATAAATTAACACCGTATAATTAAAAAATTATTTTGTAACTTTTAATAGTAAGAAGATTCAACAAAGCAACATTCTATTGTCGGAGAATTATTTGTGTATTAAATTTACTCTTAATATTATTTAGTTAATCTACTTGTTAGAGGTTGGAATGGTTTTCGATTACGATGGTGCTCAAGTATATTTGAATTAAAACATGTATACACAAATTATTTAAATTAGGATGCTTGTATGATACTATATATAAAGACATGAACACCTAATACGATAATATAATCTATATGTATTAAAAAAATTAAAATATTCATATGTATTTAATTATTTATATATTAAGAACATTTTTTTAGAAAAAGAAAAGATAGACTTTGGAAGCTTCTGCAAAGCTGCGGGATGTTTTCCTTTTAAGATTTTGACCTACTTGCCCATGTTAACTTGTGCCATACTTTCAATTTGGAACTATATACGCGTAGACTTTAGCTTCTAGTACATAAAGCTCCATTTATATAGGTAAACAAACAAATGAAATGTAATATAATATAATATTTCTTATATAGGTTTGAGGACATGGTATCCGTACCTAACTAGTTTAGATTTATTTTTATAAGATCAAATTTGTTTGGATGAAAATGTGAATTCAGATTAAGTTTTATAAAGACGAGATTGAATTTAGTTTGAGTTTGGGATGAAAAATTTTAGACTCAAATATTATAATACAATTATCTTTTATATATTTGGGGACAATTGTAATAACATTTATATCTTTATATTTTCAGTTAAATCCCTATTTAACCTAATATATATATATATATATATATATATATATATAATTGGATTTGGATTTTTATTCCAAAATTTGCATTTAATTAAGTTTTTCTAAACTCAAACCAAATTAAGCGACGAGTTATAATACTCGGGTCAAATTTGAGTTGACCAAAAATTTAATCAGATTTGACCTAATCCGACTCATATCTATTATTATTTCTTGATGGTTTTCTTATATCCGTTATTTATGTTTTGATAAAGTGAAAAATGATTACTAATATAAATAAAAGTCAAGAGTAATATTAGAGTTGAAGCCATCAAGTGATATAGTCGTAAAATAGAATATTGTTCTTCTTAGAGGTCTTGAGTTCAATCAGTTACGTCTGCATAATATGTCTACGTTGTCAATTATTTAAGAAAATTCTAAACATATATTATTATGTATTCACCCTAGACTATTAAAAAAAGTCAAAAGTAATATTAAAGTTTTTGTTTTAAAGCTTGATTTTAAGTGAAATACGGTATACATAGTTTAATAGAGTAGATGATAATCTATATGAAAAAATAGAATTATAATGTTGCCGTCGTATGATTACATCATCTTATTCGCCTATAATAGAAGAATCTACATATAGCTATGAGATATGTATGGTTGAACTTGAAAAAGGGAACGTGGGAGACCGGACTTTGTGACTCAACCCCGCGTAATTCCCGCTCCTGAAGAGGAAAATTATTCAAAGTTAGCCGCCTCATATTCATTACCCATGCCGTACAATTTGGATTAGGAAGTAAATATTATAGATTAATAAATATTCGATATTAGCATATTTAATTTAAAAAATTGTATTTTATATTCATATACAAATACATGTTCAACACGAACAAATTAAGGAAAAATATAATAACATGCAATTAATTCGAAAATAGTTGCAAGATCGTATAATCCAACGATGAACATTCAAGAACAAATCAAATCATATAGATACAAGAATCAATGAAGATGTAAAAAAGGAACAAAGGAGCCATGGAATCATTGCATCATCAACTGGAATTCCTCGAAGCTGATAGCACCATCGCCATTAAGATCGAATTGCTTGATCATCGCCTTGCATTCTTCAATGGACTTGAACTCACCCAGTCTGCTCAACATTTTCTTCAGTTCCATCGGTGTAATGAACCCGTTTCCATCGGCATCGTACATCTCAAAAGCTTCCTTCAAATCCTTCATCTTCTCTTCTTCACCTCCTCCTTCCATCAACCCTATGAAATCCTCCAAGTCCAATAACCCGTCACCGTTGGAGTCCAACGTTTCGATCGCGACTTCCGCTTCGTATACCTTCAGTTCTCCGCCCATTAAGGCTAATCTATGGCTCAACTCCGATGCCGAGATTTTCCCATCTCCGTCTCTGTCGAAGTAACGAAGAATACGTTCGTATTGTTCGCTTCTCAACATATTTTTTTTCTATACAGAAACTATGGGAATTATTGGAAAATATGCAGAAAGATGAAATAAAGTAGGGTTTGCAGAAATGGGTGTTTGAAAGCCAAGTTTTTATATAGAAGAAATGATCTGGGACTTTGCCTACGATATTACCGAGAAAGTGCTGGGAATTTTCGATACTTTCCGGGAAAGTTTTCAAACCGAGGAAGACGAAGAGGATGAAATCATGAAAAGGAATCGGAACTTGGTTGAATGATTGAATTTCAGGGTGTTCTTTTCTGATATAAATAGAATCTTGAAAGGAAACAAGGACGAACTTTACATTTAATGGTCAAAACCAAATTCTCCTTTGTTTTTAACTAAAAAAGGAAATAGTTTGTTCAAATGTTAATTTTTAAATAAATTTGTTTAAAAATAAAATTTTAGCGATAAACTAATAGAATACGAAAATGTGCATCTATTTTACATGTGGTCAAATAATAAATTAATGGTGTTTAATATAAGAGGAAAATGAAGTTAAAACTGTGATTATTATAATAATATTGATAAATGATGTAAGATATGAGGTATTTTACTTGTTATGCCTTGAAAACGTAAGTATAACAGCGTTATGTATTTTTAACGATTGGATGCCATACCATAATTTTTTTTAATATAAATGAGTACATATTTTGTGAACGGTGAATAAGAGACTACGATAAAATTTAAACCTATTACAGGTGATTGAGTAGACGCGCACCCATCCCATCTAATTTACATCCTTAGTCAAACCTTAAAATTGAATGCAAGACCTACCTGTATGTTATTTGGAGCTTACGCTTTTAAATGATGCGTATATTTATATATTTAGAGATTTAAGCCAACTATTCAAAGGGAAAAAGAGATAGTGAAACAACAAGGACTCCATTGAACAATGAAAAACCAACAAGGACAAATTCCAAGTTTAGGAAAAGATTTGCAGCGGTATAAAATCTTCAAATCCTTGAACCCTAGTCGCCGTAGTCCCTCATATCCCGCCCCAATCCAAAGACACCCTTTTCAGTTAACTTGATTGTTCCTGAAGCTTACAAAGCTCTCTTCTTTCACTGTGGGGTGGGTTTTTTTTTTTGGAGCCTTTTTCAATGGTTCTTTACTTGTTGTTCGAGTCATCTTCTGGCTACGCGCTGTTCCAGGCTCATGGGCCCGATGAAATCGGCCAGAATACAGAGGCCGTCAGGAACTTGGTTTCAGATTTTAACCGGTTCGGTAAAGTGGTCCAACTCGCAGCGTTTCTGCCTTTTGAGTCCGCTCTTGATGGTCTCAATCAATGCAATTCAGTTTCCGAGGGTATCATAACAGTTTACCTCTTGTCATTAATTGTATTATTTTGATCGTTTTTCTCTGGATATATATTTCTTCTGCAAATGCATCTGTTAGTACAATTTTGTAAAGTTTTAGGTGTTCGTTTATGTAAGTTATTGTGTTTACTGGGTTTTTTTTTTTGGGGGGGGGGTACTGTAATCCTAGAAATAAAGGATTTTGCCACTATCATTTGCTGTTTTGGTGATATCTGATGAACATATGGTTTTGCCACTTCAATGAAACTGTGCATAACTCATGTTTGAACATTACTTTTTGTTCAGGTTGGGTTAACTATTGGCTTATGTTTGGTTACATTTCGCAGGGCTTATGACCGATGAGTTGAGGAGTTTTTGGAGCTGAATCTTCAGAAAGTTAAGGAAGGCAAGAAGTCGAAGTTCAGCTGGGGAGTTTCAGAGCCTAAGCTTGGTTCCCACATCTCCGAGACAACTAAAATCCCATACCAGAGTGGAGAATTTGTTCTCTAGCTTCTTCGTGGTGTGCGTTTGCATTTCGATATGTTTATCAAGGACCTAAAGGTTTGCATATTTTGTTATTTTTTTTACAAGACGGCTATGAGACATGAGTATGTGTTTTCCTCATTTGCTTCGCGTTGCTCTTTGTGTCTCTTCTTAAACATGGTAGCCTGGAGATTTAGAGAAGCTCAGCTCGGTCTGGCTCACAGTTACAGCAGAGCAAAGGTTAAGTTCAATGTCAATCGAGTCGATAATATGGTTATTCAAACAATTTTCTTTCTTGATACTCTTGACAAGGATATCAATTCCTTTCCATTAGAGTGAGGTCTGAACTTTACTTTGCCCCAAACTTATAATCCTTTTAGTTTAATACATGACCTTAACTAGTAAAGTTCTTTCACGGGTGTGGATTTTATATTATAGTTATCGCCTGGTTGATTACTTCCTGCAGGGAATGGTACTCTTGGCATTTCCCCGAGTTGGTAAAGATTGTCGATGATAATTATCTCTATGCGTGAGTTGCAAAGCTTATAGAGGACAAGTCAAAGTTGTCTGAAGAACATGTCCCTGCCTTAACTGAGATACTCGGGGATGAGAACAAAGCAAAAGAAATTGTCGAAGCCGAAAAGGCATCAATGGGTGCACCTCTTGTATTTATGTCAGAATTCAACCTTTTTTCATGCATACCCCTATTCACCCTTTTGTTCTCTCCCAATTGTTTTGCAGGACAGGATTTTACCCCCGTTGATTTGATTAATGTTCAGCTATTTGCTCAGAGGGTAATGGATCTTGTTTAGTACAGAAAGTATCTTTATGATTATCTAGTGACTAAGATGAATGAAATTGCACCAAATTTGGCATCATTGATCGGGGAAGTCGTTTGGGCACGATTGATCTCTCATGCTGGTAGTCTCACGAATTCCCTCTTCCACCCTTCAGATTCTTGGTGCAGAGAAGGCCCTCTTCATGTATGTTTTGTTCTTTTCACCTCATGTTCTTATCATGTGGTGCAGTTTTGAAATGTTTGGAGAGCCGGACCACCTGCTAAATTCTAGGCCTTTGTCGAATGGAAGTTTGATTCGTGTCTTTCTCAAGATCTTGATTACCAGACTAGTGCATTTTTGTGGACATTTTTCTTAGTCGTAGTTTCAAGGCATTGGTTTCACTCATTCCTTGATGGTTTCAGGGCACTGAAAACCCGTGGAAATACACCCAAATATGGTCTAATTTTCCATTCGTATTTCATTGGTCGAGCATCTGCAAAAAACAAGGGCCCGATGGCATGCTACCTTGCAAACAAGTGTTCCATTGCATCTCGTATAGATTGTTTCGCAGGTAATCCTTATTCTTCTTTCCTCATATACTGCATGTTTCCCCTATAATCTGTTAATTCTCTTGTTTTCAGAGAGGGGCAGCACTGTTTTTGGGGAGAAACTGCGGGAACAAGTGGAGGAACGACTTGAGTTCTATGACAAGGGCAGTGCACCACGGAAAAACATCGATGTGATGAAGTCTGCAATTGAAAGTAGTCAGAGTAAAGGTACACAGATTTGTCTCTGTTTGCTTTCGTACGATTCACTTACTTGGTTCCACATTTATTTTCTGCATATTGTATTTCTATCAATTAATTTACGGCGGTACCTCCGTTGGCTTTGGCAACATAAGATTATGGTTTTATGAAGTTTTATCAATCTTAATGTCTTATACAGATGCGGAGATGGAAGAAGCACAACCTGATGAAGCTTCTGCAAAGAAAAGCGAGAGAAAGAAATCAAAAGCTGAAGATGCTCCAGCTGCTGCAACAAATGGAGATGATTGAGAGGATGCTAAATTGGAGAAGAAAAAGAAGAAAAAAGAGAAGCGGAAGATGGAGCAGGAAGAGGGGAAAACAAATGGAGTAGACAAGGACGTTGCCGAGCAGGATGAAATTGCCAGGAAGGAGAGTAAAGATGAAGTAGCTACAGATGAAACTAAGAAGAAGAGCCAGGAGTGAATTGAATCACTAATTGCTAAAATTCATGTAATGAAAAGCTAATGGTTGTAGAAATTGTTATTATTTTCCTTATTGAAACTTTTTTAATTTTAGGTTGTCTGATAAATTTTCAAAACTCTATGAACCTACCTATATTCTCCAAAATCTTTTTTGTTGTAAAATGATAATTTCTCGGCTTTATTCAACGTTTTAAATATTCGGAGTACTTGGGTTGATTGCATAAAGTAAGGCTAATAACATTCGATTTAACTAAAAAAATAATTTATTTTGAATTTTAAATTATTTGAGTTGAATTGTTTAAATATATTTTAATTTTAATTTTAATTTTTGATTTTTGAGGTCAATTTAAAAAATCACACATTCTTAATTCATTCTTAAACCATAACAAGCCTTGGAGTTTAGAATCTTAAGGCTCATCAAGCAAGGGTATGTAATTTGATTAATAAAACATATTTCAGACGAGAAACAATCCTATTAAAATTATTATGAATAAAGTAAGTAGTTCTAATGTCTTTGTCATTGGTATGTATGTGTCGTGCATCTTCTTCAATGATTTCCTACTAATAATCATGTAAATGATACTAAGAACAACTTCACACGATAATTTTAGTGTCGGTCGAATCCTTTCCGGGAACAAGTTCATGCAGCTCTACCATTTCCTATAGTGTATAAGAGATTATGGAGTTACTGTAATGTTATTTTTATTTGTCACTTTGCATGCACTGCACGAGATTGTGACTAGGAATCCAAACTTTTCACCAAATGCATGCTGGCCCAACTTGTCGGTCGAATCCCTTCCCAAATAAGCTCATTTACTCAACCATTTCCAATAGTGTATAAGAACTCTACTGTCATTTATCACTTTGTATACATTATGACAAATGGTAGAAATACATGAGATTGTTCCTGGGAAACAGTTTGACCGGTATAATGAGGTGGTGATATAACGAATTATGTAATATTCAGGCAGCAAAGCATAATAAAATTTTAATATTATACACCTAACCTATTATCATATAATTCAGAGAAAAATATACGATTTTAACTAATTTTTTTTGGATTTGCCAAAATGACCAACAAATTCGCAACACGATCTCAAATTTCGCAACCCAGGTTCCAAATTCGCAACGCGATAGTCCAAAATCGCAACGCAATGCATTTGTTTCTTAAGAATTTTCTCTAAAAAGATAGTATTCGCGCGGACGTGTCGAAGACACGTATTACCACGACCACGACGAAACGGCGGCGGCGATGCGCGAGAGTCCCCCTTGTTCTCTTTCACTCTACAAGGAAGTGGGAAATCCAAGCCTTAAATACCCATTCCCAATAGTGTTTCCAATACTATGTGGGATTGAGTATTACCAATACTTGTTTCCAATGCTAAGTTGAAACATTTAACATTTAACATTTGGAAGTTGGAACACATTTAACCAAGTGAACATCCTTTCGGTGGCCAAGATAATTAAGTGATAT